ATGATGGTTAGGCTGACCCTTGAAACTGAAACCACTAGGTACGTAAATGTTTAAGTGAAATGATGCCATTGTTACCGAGCTGCTGCAAAATTTGCTGCACCTATAATAGTGAGTATAATATTTAAGTAAGACAAACTTCTGTGGTTTCAAAAATTGTATGTAACAACCATGTTGTAAATCATACTATTCATTCAATGGTCCAACGAACTTAACAGTGTGAGTATTGTTTGTCTGCATACTAATTTCGTCACATTTACGAAATGAATCTGCCATTCCTGCCCTAAATTTACTATTCTGGATGCATGCATTTTGAGCAACGTTTCAGACCTAGAAAGCTAGAAGTATTCAGCCCTCTTAGTAAGGATGGTTTCTTCCAGACCTTTGAAGACGATAAAAGTGACCATCCCTGAATTATTACCTTTTTCTAAAGTTACGTTTAACAACTGGTTGTAAAAGTTACGTTTAACAATTGGTTTTTCATTATGTATATTGGACACATGAAAATATTTTATATTTGCTATTAACCTGCGATAAATTGATAATTAATAGCTCTGTATAAGGCACTACTTGTACATGATGTCCTCATTTTGCTACTTCATTAATAGATTAATTCACAATCCTTACACACAAGCAATTGAATACAATCAGTTATTAGTAAATTCAGCAGATTGGGATGTCAAGTTACGAACTAATGTATTACAACAGTCGGGGGTACGCAGAACCCATAAGGATATTATTTAACCTCTCCGGTAAGCAATCAGTATAGGGACTGTCAGGGGTGTAGGAAGCGGGGGGGCAGGGGGGCCATCGCCCCCCCCCCCCCCCCCCATGAAATCTGGGTAAGGGGCCAAAAAGGGCCAACTTTTAAATTTAGGTTTCTAAAAATTTTTGGGAAAAATTTTTTTCCCCCGAAAATTTTAAAGTCAAAAATTTTGTAAGTCAAAAATTTTCAAATAAAAGTCAAAAATTTTAAAAGTTTTCTTGGAAACTACTTTTGTTCATGTTTCATGCTACCCTGATCATTCTGAGCCAAAAATATTTTTTTCGGTTTTCGAAGTTCGACATACGATTTTGGACTCGAGGGTTCCCCTTTGTAATGCGATCTCGGAAGGCAGGCCCCCGATTCGCAATACGAGCTCGGACGCGGGAGCTCTGTTTTCAGAGGTACGTATCGAGAATGACTCGGACCGAAAATTTTCTAAGTCAAAATTTTTCAAAGTTTTTCTGGAAACGACTTCTGTTCATGTTTCATGCTACCCTGATCATTCTGAGCCGAAAATATTTTTGTTCGGTTTTCGAAGTTCGATATACGATTTTGGACTCGAGGGTTTCCCTTTGTAATGCGATCTCGGAAGGCAGGCCTCCCCTTCGCAATATGAGCTCGGAAGCGGGAGCTCTGCTTTCAGAGGTACGTATCGAGAATGACTCGGACCGAAAATTTCTAAGTCAAAATTTTTCAAAGTTTTTCTGGAAACTACTTTTGTTCATGTTTCATGCTACCCTGATCATTCTGAGCCGAAAATATTTTTGTTCGGTTTTCGAAGTTCGATATACGATTTTGGACTCGAGGGTTTCCCTTTGTAATGCGATCTCGGAAGGCAGGCCTCCCCTTCGCAATATGAGCTCGGAAGCGGGAGCTCTGCTTTCAGAGGTACGTATCGAGAATGACTCGGACCGAAAATTTCTAAGTCAAAATTTTTCAAAGTTTTTCTGGAAACTACTTTTGTTCATGATTCATGCTACCCTGATCATTTTGGGCCGAAAATATATTTTTCGGTTTTTTTGAAGTCCGTACCTACATTCGGAAGGTTGTGGATGTGATACTGATCGGTTTCATGTACTAATTATAGAAAACGTAATATTTGGCCCACAGATTTGAAGGAAAATACGCAATTTTGGTCCTCAGATTTAAAGGAAAATGCGCAATTTGACGCGAAGAACTGAAAAAATCGCGATTTGTCGTGAGGCCAGGATCTGAAAAATCGCGATTTGTTGCGGCAAACGTGAAAAATCGCGATACCGCACATGCTGCAATTTCCTTTTATCCTTACCCTCGAAATTCAGGCTTTGGCGCGAAGCGCCAACAAATTTAGGCTGTGGCGCGAAGCGCCAAAAAATATTTAGAATTTGGCCCCCCCCATGAAGAAAATCATTCCTACACCCCTGGGGACTGTCTTGATATCGTGTCGAGGTATAACAAGAAATGCGGCCGCTTTTCTACTTACTAAACTGTCATGTGAACCCTACCCAGACAACTACCGGACAACTGAATTTGTCGTATTTCCGATTTCGGTGCAGTTATGATATGACCTGGGTCCAGTTGTTGTTTTGGGATTTTAGCTGATTGGTCACCCAATTAAGCTGATTGGGTGCCTGTTAACTGCGTGAGAATTAGGTTCAACTGGGTTCAGTCACCCGGCTGGGGGGATTGTTAGAATATGGATCACATCACAAATGATACGTCACTGATTGGGCCATGTGATGTGATACCTGTGGGAGCCCGGACTGAGAGGTTCTTAGTTGTCGGTCACCGTGGATGGTCGCTCAATTTTTTGATCTATTGTGGCATATTTTATCATATTCCATGCAACCTGGGGAAAAATAAACTATTTCTAGCTTTTCTCGCCCCCACTTGGTACTTCAACAGAGTGCCCCCCAGCTCCGACTGCTCGATTGTTATTAGCCAAACATCCTTTTTTAAATCGTGACTGCTATCTTAGGATCACCTAGTAAACCCTACGAGAATCCTAATTTTGTACAGTAAACACCTATCTCAACACAAACAGGAATAGAATTCAAAGACACGAGGCTGGCAGCAGGCACTCCCGAGTTTGCCGCCGCTTTAAAACGATCACCAGGTGGTTGCTTACCAAGTTTAGTATTGGATGGAAACCGGGTAGTGTGCCAGAGTCTTGCTATTACCCGTTACGTCGCTAGTTTAACCGGTAAGTTACCAGAGTCTTATCGTTATATTTTCACTAAAACTCCCCATCATTCAACCGGGTAATTAGAGAGTTATCAGAATACTAAACATTACATTACGAAGGTAAACAAACATTCACGACAAGAATTTACAGTTTGAACTTTACTCTTGCCCCCAGACTACAAAGGCAGAACAGCAGAGGATACACTTTATGTGAACATGTTCATTGAGACGCTTTACGACCTGATCGCAAGATATGATGAGGTCGTTAAAGAAAAGGATCAAAACATCAAGGTGATACGATCAGCTGACATTCTGTGATCGCCTGACATTTGTGAACGACTTTCTTGGTTGTCATGTTCGTGGTTTTCGATTTCACACTCACAGAGGCTAAATAATTGTCGATCGACAGTTCGATACATTGATATTACTTCCCTTATATCTATAGTAACACTGTTTTGCTGTTGAATTTCAGAGCGATCATTACAGACGCTCCATACTTAAGTAAAATATGGTTTCCTCATATAATAATCTTATACCTTTATACATTGCTAGGCGAAGAAGAAGGAGGAGGCATACGAGAGCTATTTTCCAGTGTATCTCTCTAAATTGGAGAAGATGTTGTCTGACCAGTCTGGACCTTTTATCCTGGGTGACAGGGTAGGTCGAGTTAACCATGTGGTAACCATGTGGTAACCATGTGGTAACCATGTGGTAACCATGTGGTAACCATGGTCGAGTTAACCATGGTGTGTTGCAAGTGGTAAACAGTCCAACTAAACGTTTGTATTAATTGTTCGTGTTTAATCGTACGAGTTGATGCTTTTTATTTTATATTATTTTCCAACAATTTAATTTACTTTATGAATCAACTTTGTGAAACACTAAAAACGATATTTTTACTAAAACTTGAAAGTATCGACGATAAATTAAATCATATTATTTACAGATGACATGGGGTGATATAGTGATAATGAGTTTTTTAGAACTCAAACAGAACCCTGAATACGGTAGAGCTGACTTACTCTCGAACTTTCCAAAACTAGCAGCTCAATACAGAGGAGTAATAGAAGAACCAGGAGTGAAGCGATGGTTGGATTATAGACCAAAAACTCAGAAATAACTGTCGAGAAAACTGTGCTATGCATTTATAAATTTACTCATCTGAAATGATATAAGGTGGTGAAATAATTTTCTCTATAAATTTCATATTGAAAATGCCGCATAGCTCAAAATAACAATCCAGTTTTCCAGGAGTCAGCTATAGTTTTGTCTCTTAAGTCCCGCTTAATAAACTAAGGCCTTCATCTTTAATTTGGCCAGAAGTGCAGCCGGAGAAGAGTAACTATCAGAGAACTGATTCCACCAGCGTGGCCTACGTGGCAACCGCAGCCATTTGTTCCTTGACTATCTTTGTGAGCTCAGAGTTGTCAATAGGGAGCAGGTCCTCCTCCTCATCCTGGGGTAATTACATTGTTAATAGGGAGCAGGTCCTCCTCCTCATCCTGGGGTAATTACATTGTTAATAGGGAGCAGGTCCTCCTCCTCATCCTGGGGTAATTACATTGTTTCATGTTTGTTTAAAGTTTAATTGATTGTTAAAGGATCACCCCTTTAATACTAACTGTCATCGTTAGGTTAGTACTTGTTCATTCTTCAATTTGAGTGTTGATTATAAACTTTATGGGAATTACTTAAGTCAAACTTACTGATTCAAAATCGATTTCTTTCGGATCCTTTGGCATCAGTGACATCTTGATTTCTGAAATCTTCAGATTGCCGAAGTTTTTTCCAGCTGCATAAAATTGTTTCTCTGCTTTTGACTCGAACGTGACACGCTTAGTAGTTAATGGTTCGATCGGCAAATCTTCTGGAATCGTTTGAATTTCGTCTATCAGTTTTTGAACCTAAGTTAAGTAAATTATTTAGTAAAAAATATTTACAAATGTCTACCAATTTTAATCCGTCTGACTGCAGTCTGACTGCAAAATGTCACAATTGCGCAATAGATACATTAACAAAGGAATAAAAAATGTTCCATACCAGACCACCAATACCGGCCATCTGGGCTGGGGAGTATTCCTCGAATATATCTGTTATCATATCGGAACCCCTTATTGTAAAGTTTATCTCATCCTCAATGTCGTGAACCTGCATATTTTCCAAACGATTAAGTCAATTTTAAACAAACAAGGTTAACAGAAATGAGGAAGCAGTGTATTTTCAATCGGTGCAGTTGTATCAAGATTTGCATCCAAACCCACAAAATATCCTTATTACCTGTTGCTCTAGAAGTTTAACATTCTCATTCAGCACCTTGTCCACGTCGGCGAACAGTTCGTTCTGTCGGTCCCTTGAGCCCCTCACAACTCCCATAAAGGAGATGTTCAGATTTCTCTTGCATCTCTGGAACATGATGTTCATTTCTTTATCCACGTCCTCTGTAACAGTGGTTAGGAGTGAAACGAATATTCGCCTTACAAATAATACGAAAATAATAAACATTATTATCACTGCTAAAATTCGCACATTTTAAAGGTAATTTCAAAAAAAGATCATTAAAAGAAAGAAATGACTTGCCTCCTATTTTCAAGTTTTGTTTAATGTTGTAAGTATTTTGTTCCACTTTTTTCATTATTGGCCTCATCTGAAATATTCCCGTTATATTAAATTATCATGTTGAATTATTCCCAGCGATATTGTTGATAATCTCGCTGTAGCAATAAGGTAATTAACAAATCAACTGATTAACTAATTAAGTAACAGTCAATTTATTCATACCTTTTCGTGGATATTGTTCATAGTGTCTCCAATTTCCTTGACACTGTGTCCCTTGTGATCTGTGATAGCGCAGACGAGACAGCACAGAGCATTGCACGTGGTACACACTGCCTCCAGAGCAGAGTTGTGGTGCTTACTACAAAACTGGGTGCAAACTTTCATTTAGCCATATAATTATATTTTCACTAATCTTAATTAGCGACGAGTTTTGCATAGTTTTTCAATAAATTTCTATAATCAGTCGCTGAAGATTATTTTAAGAGCATTCAAACCTGAGCTCCATTTGCGCGGAGAATCTTCTGAGGTTCCGCTAGTATATCCATGAACTTTACAACAGTGTGATGTTTAGTTGCAGCCACTATCGAGTGGAAATTAGCGTGCTCGTCACAGTAATTTTCCTGTCAAGTTGTACGGTTATTTTCTTAAAATATTGGACTGATTTGTTTTGTTTATAAGAATGGACAGAAATTGTATTATTCATAAATCTGTCATTAATGATGGGTTGTATTAAATCATGTCGTTAATAATATGTTGTATTTTAATAATGTTTAGCACATTAACAGTATCATGTGATATATTCGTTTCTACAATTATTCAATATTCATGCGTTTTTTAATTTTCCAATCAGCGAGGCTAGCAAATTACAAACTTGAAATAACAAACATAGAGCAGCCAAAATAAAAGTCCGATTAAACATGCGATGATCAGTGGAGAGAGTTTGACTAACCTGACACTCCAAACAGCGAGCTTCCCCCTTCTCGTCACATCCTATGCACGGCACAAAGTCCTTTTTGTATGCTTCCACCAGCTGAACAATGAACACCCTTTATTTAGCAAGATGCTTAATGCTTATTAAACAATGTGTTTTAAATAGCTCAACTGCTTAATTCTCTCAGGAAAGACTATTATTTTTTTAATTAACACGTCTACACTACATTTTTAAGCTAATTTGAGTGACGTAATTTGAGTGACGTAATTTGAGTGACGTAATTTGAGTGACGTATTACCTTGAAAACCTCCAGTATCTTGAGAGTACCAGCATTAGGTGTGAAGCAACACACGTGACCCCCCGGCACAACTGTCAGACGGTCACATACCGGACAGTGCATCTCCTCCGCCCTGCCTTTCCTACCAGCTGAAATCGGAAGGTTTCGAATCATATCCCGATATTGGTTGATCAATGGTCATTCAGTAACAAAAACCATTTTTATCTATATTAATCCTTTGATTTGTCGCCTAAATACATGCCGACGAACTGTTGTGAGTGGAAAATCGCCGACTCTAAACTTTACGCTAAGTACAGTTCGCTTTACCAATAACTAATAACTTACAATAACCCATGTTAAGTTCACAGTACCCAAGTATAAAAGAGTTATTCGCTCACCAAACTGTCTGAGGCAGTCGAGGCAGGCAGTGTCTCCACAAGGAAGCTGGTGAGGAGCATATTTACTGAAATCGAAGGTGTGTTTGCACACTTCACAAGTCAAATACTCATCCTTCAACTTCGTCTCAGTCGGACGTGGATCTGTGGTCAAGGTGTTCTTTTAATGCAATGTTCACTACTATAGTATTATGTAGACACTGATCAGTCACTTGAATAGTCATTACTGTATCATCCGAAATGTGTGTTTTTTTCATTTGTGTTGAAAGCCCAAATTTGGACAAAAACACGATTTTGATTGAAAATACCACCATGTCACGTGACTTCCATATAAGGAGTGGCACGTGTTGGCGGTCAGTGTTTCTAACAATCCATACTCTCACCTGGTTTAGAAGCATCAAAAAATCCTGGGAAGGGGTGAGCTAACATAGCGGACATGTCTAATGAGCGGACAATCAGTAATACAGTGAACAACTCGCAAACATACAATCGAACAGCTACTCATCAAGACAATTGCTTGTTACCGAATCTAAGATACGAAGAAGAGTATGCTTGTTGATCACGCTATCACGTGGTGCACTGTACACTTTTATGCTTCATCAAGCTTAAGAGTTAGCGCTGCTTTTCAGCTCATCGGCATTAAAACTAAATTGTGCCACTTGAACAGGTACACATACCACTTGATTTATTCCTTGGCCAATTTTTATTTCTTCATACTGGTCAAAAGGAAATAAAAACAGTCGACCCAGCCAAAAACGTTTTAATGCAGGTAAAGTTGATATCGTGGTGTAAAATTTTAATACTCGTAAAATATCAAGGCCACTCAAGGCTCAGAAATAGTCATATGGACTCTTTATGTTTTGTAAGCTCTATCTCACCTCGAGCTAGCTCCAACGCTTTTGCCAAGAATTTCTTCTATAGGACCCACACAAAGTGGAATCACATTCCTCTAGATATCCGTGAGATAGAGAGTATCACTGATTTTAAAAGTAAACTTTCCACTTACATGTGGGGGAAAATTATCCCGGTGGATTCGGACTCTGAACTTGACTATTCAATAGAAACAAATCCATAAAATAGTTTATTTAAGATTATCTATTCTTGCTGTCTGCATTCACGTATTTCTCAATTTCATCTCACAGCACTGCATCACGAACTA